ATGGATGATAATGTCATGTATTTGAGCACATGACTGGTTTTAGGCACAATTTAGTTTTTACATCTAGTAGCAGGTATAAGTTGAGTTTCTATTGTAATTAGACACTACAAAGCAATAGCAATGGGTGTAAAACAGTTATAATTTTTAACATCACTAGACTATTTTAATGTATACTGTACCTTCTTAACTTAAGCAGACATAAAGTAAAACTGAAGTATTTTAAAATAGAACTATTTTAAACCAAACTAACCTTCAAATTAACAAAAAAAAAATGAAAAAAGGGGATTTTCTATGTCTTCCTGTAATATTTGTAAGACCTGCAATTAGATATGCACATGTCTGCATAATTTTCCACATAAATTCTAATGAAAAATAAAGTCAAATAAGGTCGGCTACAGCAAACCTAAAGGAAACTATTAACAGATACTTTTCACTCTGTTTCCTCATCTAGCAGTTTTACCTCTGCATTACCGAGTCATGTAGGTTGGATGGAGGACTAAATGGAAGCACCGATAGGTAGGAGTGCAAAAAAATTTATTTAGAGGTCAATTTATTTTATTTTTTTTTCTTCATATGTCATGGAAGCCTTTTTTCAAAAGGTTTGTAATCGTCTTTTTTTTTAGAAAGACATTGATATCTATGAATCATCTTATTTTTCATTATTAGTAATTTTATTACATTTTAGTATATCTACTATACATCTATATATAGTAGTATAACTACTATATATCGAACATCTACTATATAGTGCTGCTATCTCTATAGTAGATGTTCCTTTATAATATTAGGTGATAATAATCAGATTAAGTCAATAAAATACTGACAATAAATCTGCAAAATTATCGTTTATATATGGGGAAAACAAGTGTGGAAGCAATAAGTAACCACTCATCCAATGACAGAGTGGGACCCTGGGTAAGAAACCATGTAATAATGTCAAAAACCTCCAAAACCTGTGATTCAGTGTCTGTGCTGTGTGGTTAATCATAAACTACTCGTATCTAACAATTAGTATAAAGAAATGGGAAAAAATAATTTTTAGAACAGTTTCTTTTATTTACAAAGTCGAATAAAACAAACAAAAAATATGTAAAATGTTAATCCATTGTCCTTAAGCACTGATCATCTGCTCAACAGGCTTTGAATAGAGAACATCCTTTAAGTCAGCAGATTACTCTACCTTCTTGCCTAAATTGGAATTCAGACAGACGGCTCAGCTAACTCATTCAAACTGCTTTGTATAAATAAATATGTAAATTCAAGTAGAAAGCTGTAAAACTGCAGAACAAACCAGTCTTCACAGCAAAAGCTGAGCAGATGAGCGAGAAAGTTTATCACAGAGGAAACTCATTTGGCATCATGGTACGACAAACAACCTGGACGTGGTGATGAAACACGCAAAAGGGAATGAGAAGCATTCGATGCCATCTTTTACTGCTGTTTGTTTTCCTCCTTTTTAATTTACATTTTTTTAAAATCGCAGCTGCATGTCCAAATAATGAATCTATTTTTAATGCTAAACTGTCAATGTGCTTTTAAAAGTTTCCCATTAAATTTTTCAGGGAAAGCCCATTTCTTAAAATCCTGAATATTGCTCAGCAAAGAATAATTGGTTGGTCCATTAATTGGTTGTTGGATCAGACTCGTTAACTGTCATCCATCATAAGCAAACACAATCCTCAAATAGGTTTGAGGTAACCGACTGGGATAACATCACAAACAGGACCATAAAAAAATCTTACAAACATGATAGTGAAAAAAATAAAATAAAAAATTGCACAATACAAAAATGAAAATACAAATGAATAAATATGCAAAGTCATAAATAAATTAAATTTGGTAAAATTCATAAGTTGTCAAATGAGAAGGAAAATAAAAGCAACATGAGTAAACTGCTTTACAACAAAGAACAAATCAATTGAAGAAAAAAAACACCAAATATTCGTGTCTTGGTTTGATGATGTTCAGAGTTTCATGTTCATGTTCAGGAGCGGGTCGCTGTTAAAAGCTGTAGCTGCAGCCGTTCTGGAAAAACGGGAATTTTCACAGAAAGACAATTCATCAAAACTCATCGAAGGTTGATTTATGTTTAATACGAAAAACAAACTGGTATGGTTTTTTCAAAACCTAAAAATACAATTAATGTCGATTTTACAGTGGTGCACAGTGTATGCCGTGGATATGTATTTCTCAACCATAGCCACAACAGAGCAGGCATGGGCTGGTATGAGATGTTCATGGTAGGTTAAACCATGAGTAAAAATACCACAGTTTTGAGGTAAAACACAAATATTAACAGCTTGCCAGCCAGCTCCTCAGTGCTGGGTTAGCATAGTAAGCGCGGTGGGGCAATTAGCTTCTGTGTTTTTCATCAGAAATAAAAAAATTAAGCAGAATTATCAAGAAATTCCTGTGTATATGAGGTCAATGGACTAGGCTTTTTTTAGCCATCTGACCAGCAGTGAGCAGCAACAGGTGGCAAAAGAGGCAGCACCGCTTTACTCTATGCTCTAAAAAAACAGGCTATTTTTTTATTGATTTTTTCTTTAAGAAACCAGATGCGGGTCATTTTAGTTTTTTTACACTCTGAAGAGTGCACCCAAGTTTGTCTCTAAGCAACAGCTGTAACACATCAGTGGGGAAATCAAAATTGAAGAACACACACACAAAAAAAAAAGGTAATGAAATGAATCAACGTAAATTTTATGTTTTTTTTTTGCTGTACCTAAAATTTTCCTTTTTAGGAATAATTTAGTTTATCTGTGAAAATCTTTTCCCAAAATAAAACACTGCCTGCATGATGGGTCAAAGTTGTACCATTCCTTAAAAGTAAAATTTAAAAAGTTAATGAAATCCTTTCAAATGCCATAGATGTCCTGTTGACTGCACTTTGGATACCTCTGTTTTAAGCCATGGGGTAAAATCAGTACATCTTTGTTTTGAAATTCGATACCAGTAACTGGCCCATGCCTTTTGTGAACTTAGTTTCTGATCTGCAATCAATATTTGCAATCACATGCAATCCTCTTTGATTTAAAGGTTTCATATGAGTTTGAACATAAGAGCCACACAATCTCTCCAAAAAGAAGTTAGATTAGGCTTTTCAAACACAAGATGAGACACAAACAGAATATGGGTGAAAAAACAAAAACACCAGAGTGAAGGCGTGAATCTACACCGAAAGTTTGCATTCCTCACTTTTTGAGAATGATTCCTTTTGTAACCTTTAAGAAGACAAGCCGCCGACACAAACAGTAACAACACGAGTGTAACCAAAACTTTGGAGGGGCTGCGAAGCTTAGCTCCTCCAGGGGTTGTATGTATGTATATATACCGTATATATATATATAGGCTTGAGTGAGTGTTTTGCATCGTTTTTCTCTAGGCTACAGTAAGACTGTGGGTGAGATTCAGTCTCCCCTTACCTCATCTCTCTCACAGCTAACATTCAGAAAGATGGGAGGCAAATAAAGGCATTTTCTGTTGGTTGTTTCTCCGCTACAAGGATGACACCTCATTAGCTTTTTTTTTCTTTTTTTTTTCCACCTGGCTGTTTTTAGGCAATTGCCTGCTTTGTTTTTTGAAAAAGTAAATCACATAAAAATACAGTACACATAAAAAAAAAATAGAATAAATGATTTCCTACACCAAACGCCTAAAAGAAAGAAATCTTTTCTGACAGAAAAAAGGCCCGATATGAAGGCATTCGATTTATCGTACATTCTTTCATTGGAGTTTTAAGCACTGGTATAATGTTTTAAACCTTGCCAAAACCTAAGATGACACATTATTTCACCCTTTGAAAAAAAAAAATATACAAGACATCCTTTCCTGGCAGTGAATTATTAAGCGCAACAACAATCCTTTTGTATGATTTGATTTTTTTTTTTTTTTTACCATTTTCAATAGATGTTCCAGAAAATATTCAGTAGCAGTATTCAACAAATGACAAAACCTTTTTAAAGTTATTGAACAAATGTACTACAAGCTACCTCAGCTGTTAGGATGTTATTCTCCAATGAGAAAGGTCAGGATTTTTAAAGTCAGTTCCTAATAACAGGTTTTAAGCAGTTAATATTCTACTAAAATAGCTTTCTTTATCATTTTGTAGAATTACCAATCAGTTTGTGCTAGAGGATAAAGCTAATGGCTAGTTAAAGAGAAGCAAAGAGCAAATTCAGCCATCTTAAAATTTCAAAAACAACATATTCTACAAAACAAGCTCGGTAAAAGGAAAATGCATATATTGATTATAAAGGAATTGCAGAGGACAGAGCATGCTTTTCTGGTCAGAGTAATTTCCCATTAAATATGGTAAGGTAATACGAAATGTTTAAATATTTTTAACCTCTTAAAATCTTTTATTTTAATCTCAAAAAGTTACTCTGACAAGATAAACTTTCCATGGTCCATTCTCAGCACTCGTTTCACACAGGAAGATAATTGGTGGTGCACAGCCTCCAACCTCCATTTCCTGTTTGTGTTCATCAGATTCTGTTTGAGTAAATGCTATATGGAAACTCGATTTATATATGCATAAATTAAAGTGAACTGCTATGACATTTTATTTAAATGTTTCATCTTGCTTTCCCACAGACTAACGGTCAGCTTTAGGTCCAGCTTAACGTAATTTGTTTTACAAAGAAAAGTTATCAGAAACTTCTTTTAAAATCCTGAACTGTCATTTAAAGAGAAACTCCAGCCTCTGGTTGATCTTTTTTATTAGCTGTAAGCAACAGTCTTCACTTCACATTTAGCAAAGCTGCAGAACTACCGTAGAATCTCTAAAGTCAACAGTTCAGCTGGCGGCCGTTTGTAGTCACTGCAGGCTCACACTCAGCAGGTCTCAATCCAGTGATGAGCTTTTTAATGCCAGGATTGGACAAATGAATTTGGAAGCTCGGTCCATTGAATTTAAACCCCTTCCCTCCCAATGGGATGTTTTTAAATGCTTCACATTCTGATATTCAGCATCATATCTGTCACTCAGTGTCTCTGTGTTCAGTCACCTTTAAGGTTGTTTCTCCAAGGCAATACAGGTGACCAAAATTAAGATTTTGAAGGTCAACTCTCTTCATTGTTCTTCCTTACCCCCTTAGAGAAAACTGTATCTGACTAGCAGGACAAGCTGAACGTTTTCTCTGGTCTCACTGGGCCCTCATCTCGATTATGTCATCATCATCATCATCAGAGCTGCTGCCGGCGCCGTTCTCCCTGCCGTTCACCAGGGCAGCGGCCTGGTGGTTCTCTGGGCGGTCTGCGGGGGAAATTGAGGAAGGAGAGGAGGAGGAGCCTGAGGCAGCAGTTTGGGGGTACTGAGACAAAAAACTGGCTTCGGCTGGAACAGGAGTGGCAGCCGGGCCAGGCAGCATGGAGCCAGAATAAAGTCCAGCCAGCGATGGGCTGTATGAAATGGGAAAGCCTGGTGGGATCATCCCAGCCATACTGGGGCTCAACATGTATGGTGGGAGGGCTCCCGGAAGAGAACTGGCAGCAGAAGGAGCCGATGAGGCAGGAGCGGTGATTGTTGTTGATGAGGACGGAGAGGAGGAAGAGGGAACCGCGTTGGCGCCGCTAAAGCCGAAGACATCTCGATACATGTAAGCAGGGTCTCCCAGCTGAGTGTTGGGGGGGTTGAAGTAGTGCGAGTTTGACCCCAAGAAGAGCGGATGCCCCACTGAACTGCCCAACATGGCAGAGCTGAGACCCATCGGGGGAAGGCCATACCCCCCTGGGAAGGGGAACCCTGCTGAAGGCGGAGGGGCTGAGGAGTGTTTTCCTGCATAGGCCTGCTTACTGACTCTCTCCTCCAGGGACGGGCTGAAGGCTTTACGTTTGCTGCTTATCCTCAAGTCTTGTGGAACACCGGTGTCCACGTTTGGCTGGATTACATTAGAAAGTGAGGCATCATGGCAGCTCATAGATTCCCCAGGAAAGGCGCTCTTACTGCTGCCACATTTGTCCTGCAGCTTATTTGAAGGCGGCTTGTTGCTGACGCTGCTGTCAGCGGCTCTCTCTTGCTGAATGATGGAGGCTGCAGTGGCGTCAGCCCCCGAGCCAGCCGTGTAGCGCTGCAACTCACTGAGGATCTCTGGGCTGTCCGGGGAAAGAGGGCGGGGCACAGACTTGGAGGATACCACCACCTTCCTGTCAGGGGATATGCAACCATTACTGCCACTGGAGGAAACTTCCTGATGTGGAACCTTCGAGTCTGAAAGAGGAAAGACATTCAAGGTTGACTTAAGAATACTGTTTTTAATAACTTTAAACACAGTTTTTAGACTCTGAAAACAGAATTCCGTGAATCTACAAACTTAATGACCTAAATCTAAAACCTTTTAATTAATTTGAAATTAGACAGAAATCTAAAAGAGCCCAAAAGAAAAATTAGGAAATGACTATTCGCACACAATCTCCATCTAGCCTTACTGAGCGATTTTGCAGAAAAGCAAAAAAAAAAAAAAAAAAAGCATTTGGATATGCAGAGCTGGAACAGACATATTCTAGAAGATCTGCAGCCATAGGTGCATCGAAAGGCAGCAGAGTTGGCAGAGCTGAAGGCAAATAAGCTCCACATATTTAAAATTTTAAAGTATAACCTCCCTGAAGGCATTATTAATCATTGAACTTCTCAATCATTAACCACTTTCAGGTCTATTGGATACAATCTCAATGAAATGGATTCAAGTTTGTGTTGACAAAATATGGGAAAGTTAAAGAAAATGGAATACATTTACAATACTGTGTTAATCAGCAAAGGCTTTATGCTTTTAATGGAATCCATGTACTAACAGTTTTACCTTTAGGAGGAGCTGCTGGGTTCTCGTCCACCGTCTTAGCCTTATTCGCTGCTCTAATGGCAAAGATCCGGCCATCAGATGTCCTGATATACGTTCCTGAATATAAACAAAAGTAATCAAGGTGTTTAGTTTCCACTGCAGACAGATGATGCAGACAGGTTAATCAAGTTACACATGACTCAAAATGACATCTTTTATAGCAGCTGAAAAAATCCTATTAATTAATTTGTGTTGTATGATTGACTTAAAAGTAAAAAACAGAAAAGTATAAACAGATAATTGTTCCAAAGATTGCATGTAGGCCTATTTAAAGTCTGGTACCTTTTGTGCCCCTGATAACATGAATGCTTTCTCCAGCAGTGATCCTTGCCTGCACATCTGTTGAGCTGTTGGTACCTGGAATCACTATGTCTGAAACAGATGGAGAACAAAACATTCATTTTCTGATGTTTATTATCATTTAAAAAAAGGAACAAGGATTAGATCACGAGTGTTAGTGCAGCTTGCCCACCAGTAGTGGTGACAATCTTCTGTACAAACACGCCAGCCTTCTGCAGGCAGTTGACAGGGAATCCTCCGAGGCTGGATGAAGAGGAGCCACGATCTGAGGCTGAACCTGCAGCCACATGGCGAGGCATCGTGGGAACTGAAGCGGACTGAACGGGCCGAACACTGGCCACTGGTTTCTCCTCAGCACGAGTGGGAGGACGCCTGAACAGAGATCAGATCAGTTATCACAAATGTGGCTTTTAGAAAGGTAACAAAACCTTGATAAGATGAGATGTGGATACATTTTTCTAAATATTTCCTTGACTGGCGACGCACTGACCAGTTTCTCTGGCTGAAAGCAGGGATGTTAGTGAGGCTCTGATCACTGGCAGGGTAATAGTGAGCGTAGGATGGGCGTGTGTACGGCACAGACGCCCTCTTCTCCTCTTCGTAGCCCTTTTTAGCGGCTTTCTTCTCAGCGCTGCTCAGCTTTAACTCTCTGCGATCTATTAGCAGGGACTCATGGGGGAAGGGTTGCTGAAAGGAGGAAGATGATTAGACTTCTACTTTTAATCACCTTTTTTACAGTTTTTATAGACAATCCCTTACAAGGTATTCAGCCCCTTAGCCCCTACTTATGTTACATTTCGTTACAGAAATAACCAGTCCACTGTAGCTCTTGGTGTTGTAGAAGTTGGTAAAGGAAGGGGAGTCTTCGCCCCAGTTTTTTACAGCTTAAGTTTCTTTTTTTTCAGTAGATTTCCACCGTAATTTGGATAAATCCATCTTCCCAGTATCTCTGAACAGCTACCTCATCCCTGCTATAAAAAGCAGCTTAATGATGCCACTATGTTTTTTTTATCTAGGCGAGACACATCAGTTTTAGACTCATTTGAGCTTCCTGGTCAACTATTTCATAAAGTCAGATTTGAGGAAGGCACAACTGATAGTTATTACCTTGACAGATTCTCCCACCTGAGCTGTGAAACTCTGAAGCTCCTCCAGAGTTAACTTATGCTATGTTCACACCTAAAGCAGCAGAGGCAGCAGGGTTACATGCAAAGTCAATGGTTGACGCACATCAAGGTGCAGGAAAAGGTCTTGCAGCGTGTTTTGAGCAGCGTGTCTGAGCAGCTGAAGTAGCGCCTAGTGCTCTTCTTAGCATCTGATATGCGTGATGCACTGCGAAAGCACCAGCTGCTGGAGTTGGATATAACTTTTGGTGCACGATGCACCACATTAACAATCAGAGAAGCTGATCTGGGAGCTGGCAGGGAGACGGCCACATCGTTACTGATGCAGATCGCTATGATCGCTCTTCTGAAACAGCTGATTAACACCTAAATTAACTTAAAATGCCGAAATCTGCGTGTAAAATATGTTTGCTTTTATTATCTTGGTGCCTGCAGTTTCGATGACGTACGTGAAAACGCAAACATCTACTTCCAGCCGCCGCAAACAGTAGCAGCAAACCGCGAGCGGCTCCGACAGAGAAATTATATTTGATGGCAGGATCGTAATCCAGGATACAAGCGGCTGAAATTAGTTTTCTCCGTAGTGTGTCTGGGCTTTCCTTTAGAGGGTGAGGAGCTCAGTCATCCTGGGAGGACTCAGAGTAGAGCCGCTGCTCCTCCACATCGAGAGGAGCCAGTTGCGGTGCCTCAGGCATCTGGTTAGGATGCCTCCTGGACGTCTCCCTGGTGAGGTGTTCCAGGCATGTCTCACCAGGAGGAGGCCCAGGACACGCTGGAGGGACTGTGTTTCTCGACTGGCCTGGGAGCACCTTGGAATTCCCCAAGAGGAGCTGGCCCAAGTGGCTGGGGAGAGGGACGTCTGGGCCTCCCTACTGAAGCTGCTACCCCTGCGACCCGACCCCAGATAAGTGGATGGATGTATGGAGGATCGTAATCTTGATGAACTGACTGTACAAATGAAGTTTTCAGGTGGACTGTCTCACTTAAAAAAAACAAACATAAAAACTACTTTTTACCCACTGATCACAGCAAATATAGCTGCCACTGTTACAAGGAAAGAGAGGAAAGGGTAGCTCCGCCGATCGCGCATCAGACCCATTTTTCAACGGCGCAGCTAGAGCAGAAAAAGATGCTTCAGCCGCGCGTCAGAACTAAACTTGTACAACATCAAAAACGAAGCAGCACACACATTTTTGCTGCTCCTGCTGCTTTAGGTGTGAACATAGCATAAGGACGACTACAATAACTGTAGTTGGACAGCCATGTATTGGAAGGTTTTTAATTTTCTTTTCATCGATAAAAACAGGTTCAGGGAGATGATTAAACCAGATAAACAATTGACAAAACAGGCTGAATCTGTTGTTTTATTGTGATTTTTTGTCTTAAAAAAATCAAAGGTGTGAATAAAGAGAGTGTATGTATGTAAAACCTTGAGTAAAAATATTTCTAGTTCCGTTTTAAAAACAGGTCTTGTTGGGCTGAGATTATTTTCACTGATTAGTAAAACATTTACAAAACAAAACCTGCATAGTATTGTATCCAATAACAAACTCTATCCCCATTTGTTCTACTTTAATTCCCTTTTAAAGGTTGTAGAAGGACAAAGGTGTGTTATATCCAACTACCTTGGTGATGAGGTGAGAGTAACGGTGCAGCGCTCTCTGCAGGACGCTCTCCACAATTTCTCCAGGGAGCAGCCTGATTTGGGACAGATCTGGTTCCTCCTCCACAAAATGGAGAAGGGATTCAACTTCCCTCCTGGTGAAATTCAGCACAGGGTTCAGGTCGTCCACAACGCGGTCTATGGGGAGAAGACAACAGGGCAAGATTGGGATTCATGTAATTTAAACTAGACTAGCTTAGAATGTGACAAAGAAGAAAACATTTTGACAAAGACAGGAATTCCATGATATTACATATTTTTATCTTTCAAAACTCAAAGAAATCTTTTATTTGAATCTCTGAAATATGGACAAATATTTGAGCTGGTTGAAAAAATGTATTTTGGAATGAAGGAAGTTGTGGATTCTTGCTTTCAACACATGTTGATGTAACCCTGGACATGACTCTTAACAGAGTTGTATCATTGTATGATGTGTTTAGGTATCTGAGTGGGGCTGGGGAGGGCGACAGTGTGAATTCAGTCAGTCCATTTATTTGCCGTTTTGCTTGTTTGAAATACTTTTGGTCATGGAGGGGAAACTGAATAGGAACCATTCATCCTTCTTATTCCAGTGAGTGAGTTTTAAAACTAGAAGCGGCAGGCTAGATACCCACACAGAGAGCCATAATAGTGTATCATAATAACATGACTCTATAAGTGGCAGAGCATCAACGTTACACAAAATTCAAGTGAAGTTCTTCTTACCAAACTCAAATAAAAGTGTCATGTTTAATACTTATTTTCTATAACCAAAGAAATCAGATTTTTGTTTAACTCACCCGACATGCCCTGCTTGGAGATCTGGCGGTCATAAATCTTTTTCTCCAGAGTGAAGTCGCACACCAGTCTGTAGATGTGACACGGTTTCCGTTGTCCGTAGCGATACACGCGGCACACAGCCTGGGCGTCATGGCAGGGGTTCCAGGAGGCGTCAAACACCACCACACGGTTCGCCCCGATCAGGTTCACACCCAGACAACCAGCCCTGTGGTCCAGACAGTGAGTTTACTGTATTTCTGACATTGGGCCATGTTATATAATATATAATATTATGGTATGTTTGTGTTACCTGGTTGAAAGAAGGAAAACCCAAGCCGAGGTATTGGTCGGGTCATTAAACTGGTTAATCAGCCGCTCTCTCTCTGAGGCCGTCGTGCTTCCATCCAGTCCTTAAAAATATCCCAAAGTTAAACATGTGCAAAATAACAAGCAAGAAATTCCCTAGTTTAAACTGACATAAAAACATCTTTTAATTTCTCTCTATCAAACAAAGAACCCAAAATTACTCCCCTTTGCTAACGGGCGGACCTGTTCTTCTGGTTCAATTTGCATGTTTTAAGACAAAACAAGTTTTTGGGCTACTATAAAAGCCTTGCACTCAATGCTAATTTTGAATTGAAAAAGCTTCCTGGATCGGAAGCGAAACGTCTTTTGGAAACAAAGTCCAGTGGATTGTTTTTTTTTGTTTTTGTTTTTTTTTTATACTTTTTTGGAATACTCTCTCTCAAAAGAAACAAAAAGAAATGCTTTCAGAATAATTCTGAAGTTTAATAAAACAAACAACCAGCAACAACTTCGGGAATTTCAATGCTGAGTAACCAGATGGAGAAGGTTGCATGTTACAAAAAATGCCTGCAGGTGGCAGCACTCATTTAGGGTTAATGAGAAGGGAAGCTCAACTGCTAAACTGAAGCCCTTAATTCAGATAGATGAACCCTTCTTCAAAAGATCAGACAGATTAATTAGTAAACAAGTTCAGGAGTTGTTTAGTATAAGATTGTTCTAACTGAGTACATTCTCTATAGAAAAATCAGAATAAACATTGAGTCATGACTGTGTTTGCACCAGATAAGTTATTCATCTTTGAGCTTGAGAGCAATCTATTATGTAAGTGTAATCTGGATGATCAATATAAAATGTGCTGAAAGAGTCATGAGTGATAACTTACTGTAGTAGTTGAGGTTACGGACCCAGTTCTGGTTGGGTCTGTCTTTGCTGGTTGTATATGGTGAAGGAGGTACTGGTCTTTTGGCCAAGAATTCCTCAATCACCGTAAGTGTGGACAAACTCTGACTGCAAGAGGAGCAGGAGAAGGCATTATGAGATCAAAAAGAAAATCAAAGGCAAGGTTAGATTGAAATCTCACCGAAGGAGTTTTTGTTTTACCAAATGAAACTTAGAATTACTTGATCTTTTACCTGAACACGAGGATTTTGTCTCCCTTCTTGACACTTTCTTCAATGAGGTGGAACAGAAGCACCATCTTTGCTGAGTTTTCCAGGATTCCAGGCTTGTAGTCATACATGAGTTCTTTGGCCTAGCCATGTAAAAGAGACGCTGTTAGATCAGACGCTAGATGGAGGAAACCTAATGCTGGAAAACCTTGAACCGGTGCGTACCCATTCATACGTGATGACCTGATTGGCCTTCTCCTGCAGCTGGTTTAGACTCAATCCACCAATAGGATCTGGGTTGTCCAAACTCTTTGACTTTGGACCCGGTGCTGCGGTGGGACATCTGCCCTGTGAAGTGGACGTGATGTCATCGAGGTCCAAATCCTGCTCGCTTGCCATATTTTCTTTCTGCAAAGCCTCATACAGCACGTCTGGATGATTCCAGATCTAAAGAACAACAAAATGCATTTAGTCAAGAAAATATTCCTCTCTAAAAGATGCAGAGTGAAGATAATGAGCGGCACCCTCTTACTTTGCAGCAGACGCAAAAAGCTTTCAGGGGGTTCAGGCTGAGCCAGCCAGTGTTCCCTGCTTCTCTGAAGCGGTTCATAAACTCAGTGTAGAGCGCCCTCTGCAGGGGAGACAGACGCACCAGGATCACATGCTCGTCCTTGGAGGGTAGCTGGTCCCTCAGGACATCGTGGCCTCGCCTGGATTACAGATAAATGAGTCAGCAAAGTGTTGTAAAGAGAGATTGAGTTTCATCTCCTGAGCAGCGGCGATCTTACCTCTGCACAAAGCCCTCCAGCAGGCTGTGGAGGACGTGGCTCCTGTACCTCATCAGCTGGATGTCCTGAGGCGTGCTGTCCACACACTGTCCGTTTAGGATGGGTCGTTCAAACATGTTGCTGAACTCCTGTCTTGTACCTAAAAAGGAAACATCAAAAAAGGGATTATATGAGGAGCATTCAGAGAGAAATAGGAAACGGAGAATCTAAACACATCTCATCACCTACCTAGAAAGTCGGGACGCACAAAGTCGACCATGCACCAGTACTCGATGAGATTGTTCTGAAGAGGATAGCCAGTCAAAACTACGCGCCGCCGCGTTTGTATGTTCTTTAGGGCCTGAGATGTGCTGGCGTGGCAGTTCTTAATACGATGGCCTTCATCACAGATCACAACATCGGGACCAGGTTGGGAGAGGGCTTTTTCCACGGCTGAACCAAAGAACATTTTTTTTATTTTAATTTTCTCCATCATCATCTTTAAATCTGTTTTCTTCAACTGTGTGTCATCCCCAACCTTTCAGGAGTTCTTGCTGTCTGTCATCTTCATCCAGGTTTATGATATCAGATCCTGTAGTTTTTTTGCTCCTCTTCTTTCGCCCAGCCACAAAGCTCTTCTTCAAAGACAGGAGACGGTACATCTCATACCCCATCAGCAGGACACCGCCGTCCCGAGACCACTCCTCCACCACCTTGGCCCTAGATGCTGTGTTTCTATGCATTGGGTCAAAATGAAAGGTTGGTCTTACAAACTATCCATTATAGGTTAAAAGTGACAGATCTTCATCTCCCCATTCCACCTTAACTAAACTATTAAATGATAGCATGTACTGCAGGTTTTACAGTCTTTCATATAAATAACAGGATTCTTTTGTCCACCTACTTGTGTTCATCGTTCAGGATGTGAACCTTAAATGCGCGCGGTGTGACCAGCGCAGGATCGGTGTCTGGAGGTAATGCTTCAGGAGGAGGGACCCATGTATTGAACTCTGACAGCCAGTTCTGCAGAGTATTCACCTGTAAGGAAAGAAGGATGTTTATCCAACTTTTCTGGGAAAGCTTTGTCGTTCATAGTTATTATTGAGTCCTTGACATAAAGAAAGATCTTTACATTTACACATAACATTTTATTTTCCAAAATAAACCCCTTATATTTAGTAAAATACCAAAATAAAAATGGGTTAGTGTTAGTAAGTAAGTAATTTTTGGGGAGGATTTTCTCCTTTTTTTAAATTCAGATTTCAATTTAAATGGTTAGAGAAAGCCCAACTAATAATGAGATGGATTTGTCACATATATACAAATGTTATTGACAATAAAGCAGTAAGTGGGTGTTAATAACTGATACTAGTGACCATCTACTAGCCTTTCTAATGTTTAACATTAATAACTATAATAAGGTGAACAACCGTCAGAGCAAATATAATACTTTAACAGCTAATATACAGGAAATGATTCAAGATAGAGGGAGAGGTTATAATTTAAGGGGTATTTTGAATCTAAAAATGTTAACAAAGAGAACGTTCTGTGTCTTCATATGTGGTGTACGGCTGTGGAATAACTTAAGGAAAGAACTGAAACAAAGTAGATGCATGACCCAGTTTAAAACCATCTAGATAATGACTACTGTCTGGATATGTTGGATTATTGTTTCTTCTTTACTACAATTTATTAAATTCTTCTGATATTAGGTTCAACTCATTGGTTATAGATGGCAGTTTGTCAAATGTGTCCATGGTTAAGTGAGTTTGACTGATCAACAGTAGTGAAAAATGGGTGGGATTTTATAAGAGTTCGCTTCTACCCACTTTTTTTTTTGTACTCCTTTAATTGGATTGTTTTGTTTTGTTGTATTTGTTTACTGACTCCTGTTTGACAGAGTATATCTTGAAATTTATTTCACTCATAGGAATGTGAATCCATCATAATGTTCAGTATTCAGTAGGAGGAAGAGTTCTTTTTCCCAAAGATGGACCTTTCAATGAGTAACATAAATACGCATCTGCTCAGCTCAACTGTAAATGACTTAATGTTCGGGTTGATCTGTAATTCTGTATTGATTTAAAATAGCTTAAAAACAACAGGTCATGAATTTGATCTATTTGTGTAAAAACAGCATCAAAAGCTGAGGTCTTGATATAATCTACGGATGCTTACCGGTACGATGGCAAGCACAGTGTGAGCTTCGGTGTGCCTGAACAAGACGTCGATGAAGGAGATGACCTGAAGCGTTTTGCCTAGACCCATGCTGTGGGCGAGGATACAGCCGAACCCGCTGCTGTTCCTGAAGAGCTCCAGGGACTCCACCAAGTTGTCGTACAGAAAACGGATCCCACCAATCTGAGGACAGAATGACACAAAGGATGAAATGACAGAGCCAAGAATCTGAAGGAAATCTGCAGCTAAAACCAAAAATATACAGATTCTCTTTTAAGGTTTAAGGGAAGCAGCGATCTTTTAGCCCGATCGTCTGGACGGAGAAAAGTTTCCTGTTTTTAACGTGTCCTGATACCTGGTGAGGTTTGACGGCCCGAGCCAGCTGTGGAGACAGGAAGATGTCCTCCTCTGTAGCTGGATGGTTGAGGTTGATGAGGACTCTGCCCTGGGAATCGGGTTGGTTCTGGGCATCGTTGGCATGGGCGCCGCTGGGCTCACTCTCCTCCTCGTCTTTGGAGACTTGAGCAACAGTATCACCCTCATCTGTCCCCAAATCTAATAATTCTTAATACGAAAAAGGAAAAAAAAAAATCATATTAACATTTTAAGTAATTCTTCTTCACTTTAGAACTTCTTAAAGCAGGTTTTAACCAGGTCTATGAGCCGTTCGTAAAAAGATTTCAGGGCTCAATTTTGAAAAACAAAGTATTGCCATAAAAACAATCAAAAATAACAATTTATTTATTGAATTCAATATAATCAGGATGAATCTGATGTTTTCTGCTGAGGTGTAACAAGTATTTTCCTTCTTTCCATATCAAAAGAAACATACAATCATCAGAAAAAAACAGCGTCTCAAGGGGTCAGATGACTGTTAGCCGAAGCAAATACGTTTTATTTCTGATTATTGAACAGTTCTGTTACACTAATAAGACCATTTTAAAGGATTATTTCATGATAATATTGTGTGTTGAATGCTGAGAAATGCAATGGGAGCATTATTTCCTTATGGCTTCAAGCCTTCTAATACTTCTAACAAACGGACTGTGTGGTAGCGTTACAAGGGTGTGAAAAATTAAGCTTTGCAACGATACAAATATTTATTGTCAATTTTACTACCCTAGTCTCAGTTTTGTAACCAGAAGTTACTTTGTGGTATGTAAAGCTGGTCAAACGTGTCTCATTCTGGCAGTTTCTATGGCATCCAGTAAATAGCGCATTTTAGTGGTTTAAAACTTACAGCTTTTTAAAGTCTTGATTAAGATAAGAGCATCATGTCAAGCTTGTCCCAATTACTATATAATTATTATACATTACAATAATCATTAAGGTTAGATTACCCTGCAAACAAAGTAATGCTTCAAAGTAGGGCTGCAACGAACGGTTATTTTGTAAATCGATAAATCTGTCGATTTTTTTTAGATCAATAATCAGATAGCCAAAGGTTCCTTAACGACGCCTTTTACGAAATTAAACCACGTAAAACTAAAACTTTTCCACTTGAGGAGTTCTGGATAGAGCATACTGACAGACAAAAACTTTTTTCTATCTTAGATGCAAAATGTTTATATATTTATTTTTACAAATGTGATATAATTACTGCTCTAAGTGGGTCGCTCTGTCAGCTAATGGCATGTTTTACAGTCTATACTCCATCTAAAGATTAATAGATTACTAAATTAGTTGACAATAGTTTCAATAATTGATTAGTCATGATTAATCCAATTGTTTCAGCCTTACTTCCAAGTATTAAATTTAACACCGGCGTCAACATGGGTGAAATGAGAGGACAATAAATACTAGATTTTTGAATGTAAAGGCAGAAGAACAAGTATAAGGTGTTTCATTCTCATTATCATTAGCCTTGAGACACTCATTTGTAGTTACTGGTTTTTTTCCCCCCGACAAACACTGAGAGACTCAGTGTGTCAGAGTTTGTCGGGGAAAAATCTGTCAGATGAAGAAGAACGGAAAAGGGTATCAAAGTTATACAAGCTGGCTGTCTGAGAGATTCTGAGGAGAGTGTGTTGAAAAAAATGGAGAGTGAGCTTATATAACTGCAGTGAATGGCTGGTTATACAAGTAGGATTAGTGGAGGGGGCGACTGGTTATGCAACCCCAACTGGAAATGTCACTGTGCCACTGTGGTGTGGGTGTGTATTCTTTATGAGTGTGTGTTTGGCTTCATCCCCAGTATCAGGCGGGTTTATTACCCCTCTCATTTCATCCCTCTTCCCTCCATTCCTCTGTTTTCTTTGTCTTTCCTTCCTCTGCTTCTTGAATATGTGTCTGTGTTTACTGGTTCATCTGTCTCCAGTACACTCCTATTTGCACTGTAGGTGTGTGTCTGCAGTTTGCCTTGATCTTGACGCTAAAAAATGTGTTTATCCCAGCTATGTGTGTGTATATTTTTATCCTAGAGTGTTTGATGGGCTTTCTTGAGGTGTGTGTTTGAGCACAGGGACAGAAAAGGAGCACGCGCTGTACCTTAGTCATATAAAACCTCTCCCTAAATTAAAACACACAGTGACACTGAACAGGAAGGCTGGATAATTATGACTGAAAATGAAATGGTTACAAATAAGTTGTACAGTCATTTAACTATAGAAATTATTTTGAAAAAATAAATAAAAGTTAGTATAATTTGTCTTTTAAAATGGTTTCCTTTATATAATATGGACAATAAATTGAGAGGGAAACTAAATAAAAAACAAGAAAATATATATAATGCAGAAAAATCCTTTAGGGTGTCTTTCAAGTAAATACACAATTTATCCTTCCAGGAAATTTCCAGCAATAAAAGTCCTTTTATGTGGTCTGTGTCCCAAGCCAATGCCAAACAGGCTGTGTAATTTCATAAATAAATGTCAAATGGCTATTAGTGATGGTTTTCTTGAGCTTTATGGAACGAATACTTGGAAGATATCAGACTTTATGTGGTAAGGAACCTCTTTGGTATCTTTACTCAGACGAGCTACTGTTAATGGCCCCCTTTTTCCCTCCATGAGCTGCAGATTTATTGTGAGGCTAAAAGTATGCAGGTAGTTTAAACATATTAAAAGGAGGAAAAAAACTAACAAAAGCCTAAGAGCTCAAGGTTATAAAGATTTGGGTAAAATCTGAGTATTAAATTGTGATAAAAAATATATACCGTATATATTATTTTCATACAGGCTAGGCAAACTCAGCTGAATCAGAGGCTCTGTTAGACCACTTAATTAACTTAAATTAAGCTTAATGGTTTTAAATTAGGAGAATTTAATAAAGTTACAACACCCAGCTTATTAGTGTCACTGTGATGCTTGTTAAAACACCAGAACCTCCTAAAACCACGTGTCTGTTAGGAACCTGTAGTTACAATACTGAAATATCCATTTCAATACTGATGTCTAGAAAAAAAAAACGTGAAACCTGATGGCATTTTTGATATCTTAACACTGACTTCCTTTTAGTTCAGAACCCAAGCCGAGGGCAAAAAAACATGGAAGAATCTTTTCTGCAGCTGTTGTTTGTGAAGCCATCATTTAAACTTAGGGCGCTTGCTTGTGTCATCATCCTGTATCTGTATAAGAGCTTTTTTTGGACGTTTTTCTTTTGCACTCAAAGGGCGTTTCTCAATATGCGTTCTTGAGCGTTCTCGTGTGCTCGTGTACTCGTGACACGTCATCAGCCTCAGCCCGAGTACCGTTCCAATTCTCAAGAACGTCAGATCGAGAACGCATCAAATCCCCGGATGTTGTTCTCACCCCGCCCTCTTTATCGAGCATGCATCAGAGCAGACTTGTGCGTTCTTCAGACTGACCGCTTCCCCAGAATGCCCCGCGGCCGCAGCTTGATTCAAGACAGCGCTCACAGTGTTAAGTTAAACATTCCCTTTTCTGCTGCTGTTGTTCTTCAAAAGTACGTTTTGAAATCGTTTGAGGCGATAACATTATACATTTAAGCCTCCCTGTGTGGTCTGTTTACAGAGTTAGTGCGAAACTACGACCTCCGAGGGTAACCGCAGCCAGGGCTAAATTTACCCCGTCTGTAGTGCACTTCTCTCGGTCTAGTTATGTGTGAACTACCGCTCGTTCTGATGGCGGTTTTTTGCGGTTCGGTAATTTTTTTTAATGTTTTTTAAGCTTTAGAAATTAAAAATATTGTTTTCAAAATGTTTTGTGTAGGGAATAAATAGTTTTGACTGTTAAAGAAATGCTAAACAACGTTGCCTGTGATGACGTCACGAGTACGCTTCTGCTCCAATACACATACGTGCTTGCGTGCTCGCGTTCTCGTCAAGTCTGATCTTCCTGCGTTCTCGCCAAGAACGGACTTGACGAGAACGCGAGTACGTACTCGCGTTCTCGTGAATTGAGAAACGCCCAAACTCTACAGTAGTAGCCTTAGCTAGAAGGATCACTTTGTTCTGCATTCACTTATTTTCCCTTTCTGCCTGCTTCACAGAGACAGCACCTCCAAACAACACTTTAGTTTGCACAGTTGGATTACGAAGGTAAAAATAATTTTCCTGGCTGGCCTTGCCACATGTTATCCAAGTTAAAATCTCCCAGCTGCATTGGGCGGGGTTGAATGCATGTTATTGCTGCTTTACCACCATAAAAAAAGAGCTACAGTTTGGGTAAAAGGGAGAACTGGGCCTGTATCACTAAGTAATTAATTTCTCAAGTATCTTTTATAGGGAAATATGTATTATTTTGCATATTCTCATCTCATGGATGACGCATGGAAGGCACAAATTAAAAAGCTGAATATATCATCTGTGGCGTGATGAAGAACAACTTTGTGTGCATCTTAGTAAGCAGTTGAAGTTTCAAATTTTTTTGTTTTGTTTTTTGTTTGCATCTCTTAAGCCTGCGCCAACACACAGGTTATATGATATGATTTTGGGTATGAGGGTTTGTTAAGTATTAATAACAGATATGAACAATATTAATATTATTCAGTCTGCTGGTAAACATCAATATATATAAATATTGACTCAAACCAATAAGAATTTAAATTTGTTTTCAGATTTTTGTCATTTTCATTTTTTATAATAAGATTTTAATATCAAACACATTTAAATGGGGCTGGGCGGGGGGCATCATTGAAATGTTCATCTAAATCCAGAGAAACAAACCACTTTAAAATTAACTATTTATGTATCCATTTAAAAATGAAAGTAGATCTTGTTTAATTTCTGGCGTTTAATAAGTGCACCTAATCTTCCAGTAAATGTCTCCATTATGGTTTCTAAATCTGTGGTGTTTGGCTCTGTTCACTTCAGGTTAGATCTACAACCTGATCAAGAACAGATTGTTCATAAACAGCAACCTTTAAAAGTGGTTTAGTTTATCTAACTGAAACAAGTTTTACCATCAAAAACTTAAACAGTTCATTTTGAAGCCTTTTTAACTGTTTCAAAGTAAATCTTTCATTTTAACCTTGGATGTTTTACCTGTTTTTTGTGTTTTTGCTGTAACTGCAGAGGTGGTTACATCAGTTTTGCAGGTATCTTCGCTGATGGCAGTGCTGCTGGACCCCAAACAGATGGCATCCTGTCTGATGGACTTTGCATCTCGCTGGAATGACACCGATGCTGACAGTGAGGGCACATCGCCTGAGGAGACGGACAAAAATCATGCAACATGTAAGACTGTAATTAATTACAATAATAAAAGAGCAAAGTTTAAAGTGGCGATGTTGTCTGAGGAGTTTTGTACCAGTTGTATATTCAGGCAGCAGAGGTAGAGGAAAATCCTGATTTCGATGCTCTCCCAGGCGTTGCCTTCTTTCAAGCTCCTCCTGCTGGGCGGCTTTGGTCACTGCATCTAACTGATGTTCCCTCAACAATTTCCTGTAAAATAGCCAAAGAAACATGACTTAGGTGAAATGATACTTATTATAACACAATCAGAGAGGTGATATCGTCTTTTTGACATTTTGCTCTTGGACAGATGAATCTTGTAATTTCAGGAATGCTCTTGCAACACTGGTAAAAGCTGATGTAACATATCCATTGTTATGGATGCTTTCATTTATAAATGCAAGACTTTAAAGTGAACAAAAGGGAGCTGTATGCTGTGAATTGTAAGAGTTCTGCAATGGACTTATAAATGCATGATCTCAAAAAAGGTTTTGCTAAAAGGAAAGTGATTCATATTTTTAGACAAGAGGTAGACCTCAAATAAAAGGTTAGCAAATAGTTTAGTTAAAATAAAACAATAATATACTAAGCTGACATGTTCATTTCTGTTCAATAAATGTTTAAAAGCTTTGCTACAGTTTCTTTTCTTCCCAAGAGGAGAAAAAAAATAAGAAAGCACAGGGAAATCTGTTGGTGACAAGAATTTTATGATTTTCTGTGCATAGGGGGAAAAAAAAGAATGAAAGCAAACTAAATTCAGGTGTTTAAAAATTCAGAGCAAGAATAAAAAGTGCAATCAGCTTTTTAAAGGGAAACTATTTCAGACGGAGGCATGTTAGCTCTTTATTTAGGATCTAGGCTTCTGGGCATGCAAGCTATTCCTACTTGTGCTGTTTTTTTAAACTATTTTTCACAAATAATGCCTTCATCTTATTTTTTGTTTTAGTTTTTTTATTTTTATCATTGCATCAAACTTAATGCAAAAGGCTTTTTAATAACAGAGCAAAATCAAAGCTTTAAAACAAAAAGAATTAATATGCCAGCAGGACGCAGTAAACTTTCAGGAAAAACTTGTATGAAATTGGACTAAGCTAATGGCGCATACATTTAAAAACATTTTACAACACCTGATTATCCGCCTTTAAAATGTCATTTTTCCTTTTTCATACATACCCTCACAATCACCTTACATGTAAAATGAGTGTTCCTATATTTACTACAGTCGCCTTTTTAAGCGCCATCAGTCAGTCGGACAACATTTTTTTTTGAGAGCGAGTGGATGTGACTCGCCGCATACTTCAGCTGACCTGGTTACTATGTCGAGTCCCTGCTATAGAGAGAAATTAACTGGCCGACTGTTGATGAGGATGGATATAAAAGACCAGCCACAAGTGTTCTTTAACCCTAATTAATCCCACACAAGAGAACAAATAAATGTAAGTGTTATGAAAGAGGGCATCTGGTTGGTGGTTGAATAAGAATAAATATCAAAGGTATAGTGGAGGAATTTTACGAATTTTTGAAAAGACCCGCCCTCTACACCTTTAAAAGAATGCACATGCACAACCCTGTTCTCGCTCCGGAGAGAGTACAGGGTTGTGCATGTGCATTTTTTTAAAGGTGTAGAGGGCGGGTTCTCCGGAGAGAGAATGTCTATAAAACGCGTGCGAGAGCGTGCACAAGCCCGTTTCTCCTTGTGCACAAGTTGCTGTTTGCATCGTTCATACAAGCTTACTTTCCAAAAGAGGATTTGCATTTTTTTTTCACTGTCAGATTCACCAACAGTAAGTAAAAATGGGGATGAGTATGTAGAACGGCATTACGTAAACATATCGCCAGAATGATTGACAATTAGGAGGACGAATTATGATTGTTAATTTGATGCATTTAAGGCAGCTTGTTGAATGAAAACAAAAAGGGACCAGCAATCTGCCCTGTTTTTACTAAAAAGGTGAGCTCTGTTCAAAATAACCAAAATATAAGTTATACTAAAGACCCGTGCCTCGTGCACAGCACTGGTGTCACTTCAACTGAGCGCCAGAGAGTGCAAACATCTTTAAAATCTCTGGAACTTGTGCTATGCTCCTTTGAAGTTCATAATGCTAATAAAGCTAAAAAATTTTTGTTAGCATTGTTGTTAATCCTAGTTTTGAAAGATATATTGAAAAAAACACAGAAAGATCGAAGATTAACAAAAAGCTGGGATCTGAAATATGCCACATATCTCTGATTATCATATTTAGAACAAATCCACTGATCAAGACAGTAATCAGAAGTCTTATGTGACAGTATTATTGTTGATTGTTGTTTTATCCTTTGGTTAAATCCTTTTTACCTTAATAAATCAAAATAGGCTTTAGCTACCTCCATATCCCAAATACATGTGTGATGAATTCTTTTAAAATATCTTTAAAACAGAGTCTAAGCCTTTCAAATAGAGATATTCCACAAAGGAGACAGAAACTTTAAATGAAAGCCAGATCACAAATAGATGTTTGTAATTCATCCTAATGCTGTGTTTCAATCTTTTCTTGCAGTTCAGCTTTATGATGGTTGCAGGCATTAAGGAGGAATCAAGCTGCCAACTCAGCAGATCTGTAATCAGTTACAGATTTTATGGGTAACTGCTGCATTTGCTTTTCTAATAGAAAAAAAATGCAAAGTGTATTAGTGGTAGGATGTAGCTTTTTAAAGCATCTAAAATCTAAAATCACATTTTATTATTATTATTATATTGGTCGTGCCAAAGGCTTTAATAATGTCCATTACTAATAGGCTACAGTTCTTTCATGTAGTCATTTTCACTCCTTTTAATATGTGGGTTAATTGTTGCCTTTTCTGCTGTTTCTTCGATATCCCTACAGAATAAACAGGGGGGCGTTGTTCTAAGCTCTCTGACTCAGATCTGTGTTTGAATCTCAGCTGATGGCTCCAACTTCAGTACCTGATGTTGCGTCTCATGTGAGCCGGCTTGGAGCTTCTCTTCTTAGTTCCTGCCGTGGCAGAGGGAGGGGCGGGGCTTTGGCTTGCAGGCCTTGAGTGGGGTCTGGACATTGGCTGTGAGGTGGGCGGGTGGGCAGGCGTTTCCACTGAAGGTGAGGTAGATGGGGGAGGGGTACACTGCCATACAGCAGGGTCGCCACCCTGAGCCTCATTCTCCGAGCAGAAGGGGGCGCTGTGGGACTGGTCTGTGCAAGGAAAACAGAAACACAGATAATGATCAATAACAATAATAGTCTATCAGTTTCAGTTGTTATCAACCATCATAATAATTACCATTAACACACTTAAAAAAAGCATACAAACACAGCCGAAGCACAGAATAAATCAATTATAGGTTCAACATTTGCATTTAAAGAAGGTTTCTTTACTGTTAAGAATAAAATTGCTCAGGTTTTAAACAGAAGCTTTTCTATCCATGCTGTATGTAGCCCGGTGTTTAAGCTATTAATGGAAAAGTTCCTCTAGAACATTATTATAGAGCTATAGCTGTAGCTTTACTAAAAAAGAAAATAAAAGATGGAGGTATTTTGGATCTATACAAGAAATACAAAGGCTATTGTTTAATATAATGATGACATTTATGTACAATATCAATCAAACTTTACACCCTCAACCACATGTGCACTAATATGTATAACATTTTTTTATGTTTCATTAAAAAAAAGCAGAAAGTTCTTTTTTAAAGAAAAAAGGGGGATCAGGAGTTATTTGGAATAAAAAATATGCTTTCTGCCAAGTCACAACAGCAGCAGCAGAGAGGCTTGCATAACAATGTTTTATAACACTTGATGACTCAGGGAAAATTGCATGAACTGCTGTTTCACTGTTACAGATTAACAACTCTAAATAAACAGGAAACCCTCTTAAATTAGGTAAAACGTGGTCACACCGTCCATAATTATTACCAGTTCCCTTTTGTTTCATATCTTAAGGATCAACATGAATGTTAGTATGAATCTGAATGGTAAGGAGATGCCAGACATTTCTATATGACGAGGCGTGACACAGCAGTGTGTCCTGGACTAACACTAGTTGTGTAGGACTAGATGCTTCAGGAGCTTTTTCAGAAACCACTGTAGAGTGGCTTTATGAAGTTTGTCTGCTTTCATGACTGAAAATAGAATATTTCAAGTATTTAGCTGGAGCCGGCTGGTAAACAGTATTTATGGATCCATCCATCCATTTTTTGACACGCTTTATCCCAAGTGGGATCATGAGGGGTGCTGGTAACTATCTCCAGTTTTCTACGGGCGGGAGGCAAGGTACACCCTGGACAGGTCGCGAGTCCATCGCAGGGCAACACAGAGACAAACAGGACAAACAACCATTCACGCACACACTCACGCCTAAGGAGTGTGGATAACAGTCATTTTTTTTGACTGTTTTGTGAGCATGCTCAGGTGCTCAACATGCAAACTCCATGCATAAAGACCCTGGGCCGTGAATAATTCCCTTAAACACACATTAGGCTGGTTTGAACCAAACAGATCTGATCTTCTTTGAATCAGTGAATGCACCTTTCATTAGTGCAATCAAGACACACTGGAGATATTTATGTTATATTGTGAAAATCAAGTAAAGAAGACTCAAAAATAATTGATCCCTGATCAGGGGTAAGCCTGAAATAAAGACAGAAAGAGTGAAAAAGTGATCTGTAACTAAGGATGAGAGAGAGTAACATTTTAAGCACATAACAGAAAGGTTGGATGGAGTACAATCAAGGTGCAACCATTGACTGCTTATAGCAGCAGGGTTAGAAATGGAAAAAAAACAAAAAACATGCTCTTATATCTTTTATTTACCTATTAAAAAGAAATCTGAAATAAGGAGGCAAAAAAAAAAACACTTGTGTTTGAAAATCCACCACATGGATGCATTTCTAAGAAACAGTTATTGAAAAAAAAAAGAAAATTGGAAATATTTTACACCCAAATCTTAATTGAGCCTCATGGTGTTCTATTATTTTTAATGTCTGTCTTCTCCATCTGCATGTGAAGCTGTTGGTCTAACTAACACAAACCTAAATTAAACCTATCTATATCAGCATGGGGAAAATTCTTCTCTGAGCCAAAACCTCCATCAAAAATAACAGTTTAACCTTGTTCTGCAGCTCATTCTGCTCTTTGATCCGTTTCCCTAAATCCGTTCATACTTAAATCTAACCTTTTCCCTTCCTGCCCTCCTGCTCCTCTTTCTCTCAGTTTTTTTATTGGAAGCAAACTGAACCAGATCTCTAGCTTATGTAAGAACTGCATCATAAAAATGGACGGCTTATGAAACACAAGACAAGGCACAAACACTGACGCACAGACAGACATATTTCAAAGGACAAGCGCTCATAAAAGAACATTAATCAATACATAAATATCTAACACACATGTAAACCAGCTCATGTTCGTATTTCTGTGGGGAACATACTAGAGATGGAACAGATTTCCTCCATTAAGCCCCATCTAAAATAAATCAACTAACCATAAAAGCTTAAATTGCCCTCTTTAAAGTCTCTTATACATCTGACAGCAGTTTTGTTCCCATATTTTTAGAGAAACTCTTCATAACTTTATGTGCTGACATGTTTTGTACCCCTCCCAGGGTATAAAAAAAACACACATGTCAAGGTTATAGTTCAGTCCAACAATTCTACTGGGAAGATTGGACACAGTGGGATGCTACCCGGACACACATTAGCCATTATACTGCAGACGCACACAAGCCTCCCCCCGAAACACAGGCAGAAGACGTGCTCACAGCGTGATACCTGGCATGAGAGCGTACATATGGTTGGTGGCACTCACTAAAAAAGAAAATTCTTGGGGCACGGAGCCTGTTGATGATGATGATCTCAGTATGAAGTGGAAAACAACTTACATAAAACGCCCCGACAGCCTGTCTACATGGCGACAAACTTCTTAATCAGGCTGCTAATGACACCAGCTCTACCACATATCTGTGTGATTGACAAGTTGACATTTTATGTTTCAGAAAGGAACCCTTCTTCTCTTTTGGCTTAAGAAGAAATCAAGATATAGGAAAGCTTGTGGTTATAAAAGCACACATATTTAGACTCTAATCAGCTCTGGTATCTCATTCAGACTCTTTGGTCTTTAGCTGAAATGTCTGAGCAAATGCAATGGCTGTTTGCCTTTTGTTTTGTGACCCTCGTCAGCTCTCTCCTAATGCTTTAACAAGGCTGACATTTCCCCATAATTACAGTATATTCACATGCTTTCAAAAGATAGTAGCATTTGAGATCCGGAACAAATTAAATTACGTTTTCTACTATAAAACAATCAAGGAGTCAGGATCTAAAAATATAAATACACCTCAATGGGCTGGATACGGTCTAAGGCAGGGATCATCGACCTTACAGCAAACGTACAGTTAACTAAGCCTTAATATATCATATACATACTTCCACAATTTCTTTTGAATTTGTTCTAATTTTAAATGTATATAAATGCAAATGTGATACAAAAGAAGAGAGTATGAGATCCTATCAGAAATGAATCACTGCTTTCCCTTGTTTCAGCTGCCAGCAACATTAGTGCATCAGATGGTTTAGATTTTCCAGAGAAGAACGAATGGGGATTGTGGTTCTTCTCATTAAAATGGAGTGGGTTTAATAAAACAGTTTAATTAACCTTATCCTCTGATCCCACGAGGGACAGAAAGAAAGAAAGAAAACAATCTTTTTATTCATGTTATTAGCTACATTTCCTGGAAACCATCATAAACCCCATTTTCCATTTGTCCAGCACAACCTTACACAACGGTTATATAACAGTTCCTGAAAAGCACAGAGCCCCAACATCAGCGCAGACTCACACACAAACAGGCCGACGACAATGCGGAGGCAGGACAAGCAAAGGAAAAAGGAAAGGAGAGAGAGATCAAAACGAGGTCAGTGTTCGAAGCTGGAGAGAGAAAATGTGGAAAACAAATAAAAAGCCATTAAAAATACTGCAGCTGCACACATAGGCAAACCAAGCAGACGCAAATTCTGGGAATCAGGACCGCTTCCTGCTCTTGGGTCAAAAGGCCGACAAGTTAAAGATTCATTCACTAAGAGAAAGAGAGCATTTTATTCACATCTGTTACGAAATGTGCTTTTGGAAGCTCTTAGATGCACCTTTTACTTCAGCTGAGACTGAGTCCAGTTTTAGTTTGACACGATTCAAATCTCGTTTGCAGCAATAATTTTGCATTTTCATTTAAAAGGTTTAAACCAGCAAATGACAACCATTTACTGTGAACCAAAGAAAACTTAAATAAAAGAGATAAAAGTCAGTAAGTGCAGCAGAGTCTTGTTTGCTCTCCAGATTCCTGTTTGAAGTTACCAATAATAGGAGAGTGGGATGCTCTTATTAAGGCAATTAACAGGTTGGAAGCAGCTGCAGGCAGACTGTGAACGTTTTATGACTGAAACAAGGGCTTTATCTCAGCTTAAACATTCACATTTATGCGGTAAAATAATTGGAGAGCTTTTTTAAAGCTTAGGTCTACGTTTAAAAACAAAGTTTTTAACATTATGAGAAGCTAAATTATTATAAACCAGAAGAAATTCACAGTAAAACAGCTTATCAAGCTCTATACATTATTCTGAGGCAGCGTACGTTTATATGCTGTCTCTATATGTGTTTATGGGGCTGAAATCTTTGATTCATTAAAAACAGCAGAACAAATGGCAAAGACTGAAAGAAAAAACATTACAGGTATTTTTCAGAGGAATATTAGCCCTTCATGACCTAAAAGGTTGCACAACCCATCCACTGAAATGCACTAAATTACTTGTATAAATAAAAGGTTAATCTATGCTTCTCTTACTGAGATCCAAAGAAACTGCAAATCCCAAAATCTCAACACCTTACAGGATGGGCAGTGATCCATTAAACTCCCCATTTAGACAAATGTAATTTATTATAATAAGGTAGAGATTCATTATATTAAAGTCAGCTTATCATGTCCTAACCTACAGTTAATCGGCTCCTTCTGCCAACAGCTTCTTTCTTCTGCAACCATCTGTTTTAGCAGCTGTTTTAAAGACGCAAATTGGCAGAACATAGTTATAAACAGAGACGATATGGGGTTCTGAGTTTTATTATATATGATCAACTCTGTACCAAAAACTTTTATGTGATTTAATTGGAGTCCTTTGATTAAAAAAGTAAAACCATCTAAATCTATT